TTCTTATTTTCTGTCTTAATACAGTTTGAAACAGTGCTGCAGGCTCGGTCGATCTCAATGCTGACTCGTCGACGAATTCAGCAGCCTAATGTATGTTACCTAGAAACTGTTTCTTAGAGAATAGCACTGCTCTTTTGCGACACCGCAGGAAGACTAGCAGGGGTGACGATAAGGCATTTTAATCTGCTGTCAATGCACGACTTATCTTCGCTTTGCTCGTTGGAAGAACCCTATAAATAATCATGGAATTTTTAACCGACTTCCCAAAAAGGAAGGGGTTATGATTATCAATTCGGCTGTATGTTTTTTTGTGTGTATGTTACCCGATTACTCCGGCGTTTGTGGACGGATTTTGACGATTTTTTTTTTGTTGGAAAGGTCATACTCTCGGGGTGGTCCCGTTTCCAGCAGGTCATGATCTGATAATGGGATCCCATTAAAACCAAAGGTAATCTTTTCAAAATTGTAAAATGGAAATCCCATGGAAACCGATTTCTTAGTCTTACCTATCAGTGGGTAGGTAACCTAAAGGTACGTATGACTAATAATAGTCTCTTTTTTTAGTTTTTACCTTTTGCTTGTTTTTAGGTTTTGATTTTCGAAGTCGGTCGGAAACGTAAAATGTAATATTGTTGTCACATCGTTTGTTTTTTAATTGGATGAGCTGCCGCTGTGAGCTTTTATTTTGGACCACTCAGCTAAAGGATGGGTATCGACTAAGTAATTGGCCGCTTAATATGTTGATTGTACTCTAAATGTATTGACAATGTTATTACATATATATGTAGAAAGAAAAATTACTAATCTGCCATTAGGCATGAGGCCCCATATACACATAATTAAATTCAATGGACCTAATTTTATTATGTAATTATTTTTATAACATATCTTTGCATGCCAAGTTAAGGCAAAATATGGAGAAACTATAAACTTTGTTAACACCTATATATTATGTACCCATGTTTGCAAATTATTAAATGAATATGAATATGAATTATGAATTACACAAACATAATTACATAGTAAGATCAAAATATAATGAAAACAATAAAATAAAAAAGAACAACAAGGTGGCAACAAGCCCATGACAAAAGGGCTTCCAACTCAGTATGAGGTGAGCACATTAAGTACCCAACACTGGTTTTCAGTTGACACCCTTGCAGTGACGCACGGACGAAAGCAACGAAAAATATTGTGGTAGCAAATAATACGATTACTTACAGATAATTTTGATAAAAAAGAAGAAAAAGAAAAGGAAGTAACTTAAAAAATAAATATACATAAATACATAAATAGGTACGTAAATATAGGTGTTACCCACAGAAATATTCTTTAATATATCTGTGGTATTACCTAATGTTGTCGAAATACTGAAACGCTAGACAATTATTTTAAGTCGTGCTTAAGTATAGTTCTATCTCTACAAATTCTTTGTAAAATGACAGAGATGACACGATATTTGAGCACGACTTAAAATTGAGTAACGTTTCAGTATTCCGGCAGAATTATTTTAATCCTGTCCTACTTGAGTACATAAATCTGAAACAGTGTGGTGGATGATTACATGTTTGTAACTGTTTCACACAATAACTACTAAACGGATCTGAATGAAATTTTGGTGTACAGATAGATCATAATCATTCATCAACAGCCTATTACTGCCCACTGCTGAGCAAAGCCTCTTCTCACACGGAGGTTTGAGCATTAATTACCACGCTTGCTCAATGCGGTTTGGCATACAAATAGATAGAAATTTGACACTTTGAAATAACAGTACTTTTTTATTTCAGTAGTCTGTTGGCTAGTAAACATTCCTTTGTAGGGGTTACTCTCTGTTTTCATGATAACCCTTAGAGCGCCACGTCAGTCACCGGTGCCTGACGCTAGTGGAGGTTTGACTTTCACCATTTTAAACTTGGCAGTTAAAGTATTAAAAGGCGTGGCTATATATATTTTATTAACTAATTTACCTACATTTTACAGATAAAAAGTCAAAATATCTTATAAATAATGACTGCCTCGTTGGCCGAGTGGTCGCAAGTGCGACTGCGGGCAAGGAGTCTCGGGTTCGATTGATGGGTCGGGCAAAGTACAACCAGGTTTTTTTAAAAATCTCAATAATAGCACGGAGTCTGGAATTGTGCCCGGTGTATGGCAATAGGCTCACACACATGGGACTCATAACATAAATAGTGAAAAGTGGGTGTTACATTGTACAGTGGCATTAAGTGCCGTAATGCCTACCCCTTCGAGGATAAAAAGGCGTGATGTTATATTATGTTATGTATCTTATGAATAACAAGATACAATACAAGTTTAAGACTAACCCGAGCAAGAAGCGCTCTCAAAGACATAAGTTAAATGAATAAGTTATGACAGAGCTCCCGACGCCGTCCTACTTTCTGCCTGTAACGACTAACTTGGTACATTACTAGATTTTATTTATTTATTTATTTGTAAGCTTCATGCACAAAATGTACATAAGGTGGACTTAATGCCGCAGGCATTTTCTCCCAGTCTGACCTTTGGGTGATGCAGAGAAGAGTCAATGGTGTGAGCAAGAAGGAAGCAACTATTTAATAGAGCAAATAAAATAGATATACTTACATATTTCAGGGATAAACATAAATAAACATAATTATAATATATATACCTACACACGAGTACAACACAATACACATGCATGCACTCATACATATATACACATATACATACATACATACATACATACATACATACATACATACATACATACATACATACATACATACACACATACATACATACATAAATATAGACTGTGAGTAATTAGCGTGATGATTCAGCCACCCTCTCCAAGAGAAGTTCACGCACTTTCTGCTTAAATGATAGACGAGTCGACACCATCCTAGATTTTGTTTTAACATAACATTACAATCAAGTTTTTATTCTACTTGTAAGTGTGGGAGAGCCATGCTTCGGCATGAATGGGCCGGCTCGACCGGAGTGATACCACGGCCTCATAGAAAACCGACGTGAAACAACGTTGCGTTATATTTCGTCGTGTGAATGAGGTTACCAGATGCCCAATTACCCACCCCCCCTCCCCTATCCCTGAATCCCCAACAATCCTCAAATTCCTAATCCCAAAAGGCGGGTAAAGCACTTGTAACGCCTCTGGTGTTCCAGGTGTCCATGGGCGACGCCGATTGCTTACCATCAGGTGATCCGTCAGCTCGTTTACCGGCTTATCCCATAAAAAAACACACAAGGATGGGTAGAAATGTACATTGTCATGACCCAATCCCATGAAGATAAGCCTGTTGGCATGGCTGAGCACAATTCCTACATTCGTGCTATTACTTAGAATTTCCAAAAACCGAAGAAAATCTCTAGGTACAATTCTTTCATACTTGTTAATCGAATCTGTGCACGATAATCACTTTTGCAGCTTATCAAACTTTACCGTGAATTGATATTTTTAATGGGGATGATGACAGGGTATGAAAATTAAAAATATAATTAGTCCGTAAGTTAGGTAATGAAAAAATATTAGACACGTATTTTTTTATTTTGTCGTATAATAAAACAATACTTAGATAAAACGAATCAAAGTTTAGGAGTGGGGGCTAAAACGTCATTTCTTAGTATATAATGTACTGAGAAGTGACGTCACGCGACATTTCAAATCAATATATCTTCGAAACTATTCGTTTCTGTGAGAAAATAAAAAATACGTGTCTAATGTTTTTAAATAATCTATCAGACGGACATTAAAATAAAAATTAGTCGTCTACCCTATTGGGGAAAATCATCGAATGTCTGCTCCCGCCTGGGTGACGCGGGAGGGAGTGTCAGACTCTTACTCACTAAAAACCATCCCGTTCGTACTCCTGCCCTTCGAGCCGGAGCCTCGGCAACCCGTTAAGTCCTCCGCAGCACCGTGAATTGATTACAGTTAGAAAAAACAACAGCAATAATGCAACAAGCAAACGCAATGATATTCCAACACAAACCAATAAAACAACTTCAACACAAAGTTCTAATGCCGATAGCTACTTGTGTCGTCCTCGTACCGTCCACGTGACGCCCCCGTACCGTCGCCGTCCCGCTCCCGTGTCGTTTCCGGCATAATACACGCTCCATTTCCCGAAGAATGTGCTCGCGAGGATTTCCCTTGCGTTACAAGTTAGATAAAATGCTTCTACACGCGTATTTACTTTTTATACCGTCTCTTCATACGGTAGTCAAAGCGAATGGCTGCGCATACTTAGCTAAATTAAAGTCTCTTTGGAGACAAGTTCACGGTTTAATTCTTTTAAGGGGTAGGCAGAAGTTTTATATATATAGTAGAAGTAAGCAATGTGTAAGTACCTGTAGGTAAGTTAATTGTTTACTGTATATGAATATTGATTTAGTTTTAACAGCAGGTAATGTATAAAAGTATGTATAGATACATACATACAATGATCGGCTCTATATATAATAATAAGTACTCTTGTCAATATTACTACGATAATAATGAATAATAGCATTTAACAGTTTTACAGTTAGTTTAATTATTCTTATTTTATCACGTAATTCTTGGAAGCTGTAATGTAACTCTGTTATTGACATTACATTTTTAATTAACTTTCTATAGGTATTTGAATTCACTTATTATAATAATTGTGTAGGTAGTTCGAATTTTGAATAGTTTATTAGGTAAATTTTTTTCAAACAATATTGTATGATGCCGCCATTTTGTTACTTGCATACTTCAAGGCGTAATATGGTCGGAACTGTACTTTTCTGCTAACAACTTATTGTAATTTATTTACCTATATTATTGAATACATGATTTGATTTTATTTGAGTGTAAAACTTAAGCCAAAATCATACTACTCTCGAATCTAGAACAAATATGGATCAATGTTACAGTATCGCCCAATAGATTGGAAACCATTCGACAGGCTGTACAGGCACCTCAATCCCACCCAGTCCCTCACAACTCGCTTGAATGCACTCCGATCGTATCTCACTAGATGTATAATCCATCTATTCCCTCCAAAGACTCCTCCGAGGAACGATAATCCACTTGTAACTAAACATCGAATCTTATACTCGATGGTATTAAGTCTATTTTGCAATAAAGTCTACTTTTAACATAAAGGAAGTTCGAAAGTGCTTCTGAACTAATAATGCGATTATTGCTTGGTGTTCTTTGAACGAGAATTCCGAATTTATGGGTTTAGATTAAGTGGACGATATGATGTCATAACATCCCAATATTTCGCGTAAAGGGTAACAATAGGTGCTCTTTGAGTTACCTAGTTTTTTTTAAGGGGGGAAAATCATCCAATGACTTCTCCCGCCCGGGCGGGAGGGAGTGTCAGACACTTACTGACTAAAAACCACTCAGTTCCTACTACTGCACTTCGAGCCGGAGCCCCGGCAACCCGTTAAGTCTTCCGCGGCTCAATAGACCTAAGTAACGCTTAGGCCTTTTAAGAGCTCAGATACAGATAATTTCGAGTTTAAAAAGTTAAGTTTGATATCGAACTGAAGACTTCATTACAGTCAATTCAAGGTCATTATAATTGTACTTGTAATGCATACCTGCATAAAACATATAAAATGGTAGGCGCGCTCTCTAATGAAAATCCTATCTACCTATTTACTATTTAAAAGTTAATAAAGACAAATTGTCCCTCTTGTACATTTTGTGTATACTGCAGTGCGGGCAGGTCCTACGTCTAGGTAGGTGGTGGTTTAAAGTGTGGGAGAGCCATGCTTCGGCACGAATAGGCCGGCTCGACCGGAGTGATACCACGGCCTCATAGAAAACCGACGTTAAGCAACGCTTGCGTAGTGTTTCGTTGTGTGAGTGAGGTTACCGGAGGCCCAATTACCCACCCTCCCCTTCCCCAACCTCCCCAATCCCTGAATCCCCAACGATCCTCAAACTCCTAATCCCAAAAGGCCGGTAACACACTTGTAACGCCTCTGGTGTTCCGGGTGTCCATGGGCGACGCCGATTGCTTACCATCAGGTGATCCGTCTGCTCGTTTACCGGCTTATGCCATAAAAAAAGGTAATTTGTTTGACAAGTCAAGAATAAAAGTTGAAAATAGAATTCTGACATTTCGATTCCTGCTGCAGTTCAGTTTAAACTCCTAACATAAATCAAAAGGTCAACGTCTCGTAAAGTAGGTATTACCTAGGTACTCGGATTCCTACTTGAATTAGTACCTACCGCTTGTACAAAACAATTTTCCACAAGAAAAGAGCGTCATAACCGTTTTTAAAATGTCAAATGGTAGAACTTTAATACATATAACAATACTGGGTTTATATTTTCAGCCAAGAAATTTACCGTCGCACATCTTTCATTTCCTGATGAGCTAGGCAGAGAATTCCAACCCAAATATATGCTTAAATGATTTCCAAGCACAATAATAGTTTAGTACAGCCTCCGTGACAATCCTACGTACCTATATTAAGTAGGTGCCATTGATACTTAAATAACATTTTGTAAATCTGAAATCCTTCGTTCGGAAATCAACTTTTAAACAATGGCAGATGAGATACTCTTAAACTGGATAAGTACCTAATAAAGTATTATCATTCCACGTACCTGATACAAAATGAACCATCTTAGCTGCCATTTTGTGTTGTCAGAGCTCCGTTTGTGAAGATAGCCAGTCTGTAAACAAAATATTAGTTATTAACTAACTACTACTTAATTATAAAAATATAAAAATGACGGCGCCAACCATAGAAGGAGGAATCCTTTTTCTTTATCTTGTCTATGGGGGCTCTCTGGTCAGTTCACGGGCAGAAAAAATGGCGGGAAAGTGGCTTCCCGCCATATTTTTTCTTGGCTTAATCGTGGATTGCAATAATGCAATCATTAGAATCGTTTTTGCGAACTTATGAATTTGTTATTGAGTTTGATAATATAACGGTGAAATTTATTACAATTAGAGTGGATTGACAGTGATTGACAACGGGTTTGTTACAGTACTTCTTCTGTCAGCCTCTTCTAGCTTAATTAAAATGTGAACAATTAAACGAGCAATGTGCCAACAACAAATATATTCACAAATAATATATTGTTTTACTTCTATCAACATGTCCATCGCTCATATGTATCTTTCGACAAATACATGAATAAGTAACTGCAATACTTGAAAAACAATTAGGTAGGTTTGTATCTAGACTGGAACCTTCTCATAACACTTTGTTTTATGATTATTTTAGTAAAAAGAACCTAATCGAATCGGTTATTATTTTGATAGATTTTCAACCTTATTAATGTTCAATAACTATACCTAACTACATAGTATAAAACAAAGTCATCTACCTCTAGTATGCTTAGATCTTTAAAACTACGCAACGGATTTTGATGTGGTTTTTTTAATGGATAGAGTGATTCTTAAGGAAGGTTTATATGTATAATACATGCATGTTGCACCCGTGCGAAGCCGGGGCGGGTCGCTAGTGTTCAATAAAGTCAAAATCTATTATTGCACCTAATGATGAAAAATATAGGTAGGTACTAACCTGTGAGTGATCATACTGCGCCCTATCAGACAGGGCTAACAGCTGACCATCGTTCACACGAACTGACCGCTGGATCTTTGGGCTCAGCATCATTTCTTATATCTGAAACAAAATATTAAACTGTAAAGCTTTTTACCAAAATTTTCTGTTTAAATATCATATTCACTAATGGTGCTTACACATTCGAAAAGCTATGACGACAGTCATTATAAAAAAAAATATAAAAAAGAAGTCTTATTTCAGCATTACAGTTAACGTCTAGAGTTAAGATGATGATGACTTCTGGCATAGACGCAATACTTCTGTGCGTTCCTGTAATCCTCGGAGTATTTCTGGCAAAGACATACCCATAGCAAGGTTTTTTTTATTAGACGTTACAATCTCTCTATTCTGTCTGGATAGTCTGACAATAAACCATGAATAGAACATTATTGGAGCTATCCTTAATGTGTTAAATAAAATACGATAAACTTAGCCTATGCTTAAATCAATCAATGTTTTTCAAGAACGTGGACCTACATAGTATAAGTACTAAGCATAATTAGGGCTCTTCATTGAAGATACCTAGAATGATTACCTAAAATCTGATTGGTATTAGGTACTAATAAAAATCTATCGTAAAATAGACCATAACACAGGCCAATTGCACAAAATATAGTTACCTACAACAACAACCTTCGTTTGAATAATAGCTAGTTTCTCTCGAGCTTTCTAGACATTGTTTATATTGTGAACAGTAAACTCTAGAGTAGGTATTGTAACTTACAATGTATGCGCTAATAAGGGTGCTAGAAGAATTAACGATGTGACCTTTGGTTTAGGAATACTTTCCTTCTGTACGTGGGTGGTATTTACTGTGAGTAAATAATGTCTACCAGTAATGGGAGATTCAAAGCGTGATTTCATGTAAAGGTCTATTTTAATTATACATTATATCGTTATGTAGGTACCTAATATCTCTGCTTCATTGGACACTGCCACACGATCCCGCTAATTTATTAATACCGTATCTACGCGGCTACGCCATCATCTATGTACGTACCTACCACGTAAAAATAGCTAGCATGTGGGTTGTGTGTTTTTGTTTATAATTTTACTACATGTCGTAAAAATATCGATTGTCAACTCACCTTTACTTAATCGTATTCATATTATAATAGAATTATGTCACAGTCACTATACGAACGTACGTAGGTAACTTACAGTTCAAGATCAACAACGAGGGAAACAACATTATTTATACAAGTGAACACTTAGATCTCACACAAGTCTATAGACGAACAGACAACGCGTTATAACAACAGTAGAGAAAACAAGACAACCATTAATATTTAAACTTTAAAGATTATTTACACTAGTCATAATCACGAAATGTTGTGGCGCCTGTTGAATTTGTAAACGCAAGCAGTTTCGTTGAGGCAACGTTTGCTATCACTATTGTTACAGCCTGTTTAGTTGTTTGAAAGCGTTTGGTTAAGTTTAGAATGGTTTTTGATTGATCAGTCTGTCATAGTCGGTCTCGCCTTGTTTGCCTGCAGGCAGCCGAGGGCTGTACGGTGTTGCGTCGTAGACGGCGACGGTTCGACTGCCGGGCCAGCACCTGTAGCTGAATCGACCGTTGCGCGCGTGCGTGCCCTTCATGACGTACGAGAAACGCCATAGAACGGAGAACAGATAGTTTTGGCTAATTAATGAGTATGCAAATTATTTGCAACATCTCGTTATTGTTCTCTAAACGAAGGGAATTATGTATGCGTACTCCCGTCTAGGTTTGTTTATTAATTTTTATTTCCGTTCTGTATTCTTTTATTCCATTCTCCATTTAAAAAACTATGAATTTTCTAATTCATATAAGTGTGTTTTTGTTACAATATACATTGAAATTAAAAAATCAATTTACGAATTTGAAAATGGAATTTAAAATTTTAAAAAGTGTCATTGGTCTCGTTAGGATATTTGTAGGACTGTGCGTGGCCAGTAAGCGCAGTTTCCTCAGCAATAAAACTCTCGAGCCCGCCATATCTTTGTGTGACACGCGCCACAACTTTGTACAGGACCGTAATGTTATAAGTACTTTACTTTACTTGTACCTTACATATCCACGCCATAACTTTACTTACCTGCTTAGGAAATCAAGTAGGTCTCTCGTGTAGACATAAGAATGTAAGTAAGTAAGCATTGAAATCTATCGCTTACTTAATTAAAGTAGGTAATCTTAATGTCTGTCATGTATTAAATTAAAGCATGTGGGGATTGTCTCATTAAAATAATTGCAAGGGTACAATACACATAACATAAAATTACGCCTTTTGTCCCCGAAGGGATAGGCAGAGGTGCACATTATGGCATTTTTTTTTCTATCTAATGCCACTGTACATGTAACACCCACTTTTCACTATTTATGTTACGAATCCCATGCAATAGAAGGTAAGCCTATTGCCATATACCGGGCACATTTCCAGACTTGGTACTACTACTGACAAATTTTAAAATACCCAGTTTTAGTCCTTTGCCCGACCCGGGAATCGAACCCGAGACCCCTTGCCCGGCAGTCGCAATTACGACCATTTGGCCAACGAGGCAGGCAAAGGTACACTATTATCAAAAATATACCTACAAGTTATCATAAAGACTTATGTAATAAATGGGAAGTACACCTATTACCCAATAAGTAGCATACGCTGCTAATTAATATCCATGACATTTTCAATATTCGCTAAACCCAATGGACGATACTTGCTTAGGTAACCACTGTTTGTATTGCCATTAACTGGTACATGGTACCTATAATAAGTAATCTAAATGAAACGGACTATATACTGAGTAGTATCTTGTCGGTTTTCCCAATGAGAGAATTGAAAAATAATATTTATTCGTCCATCAAACTTCATAAACGTAATTAAGTGATGCCTTATTCAATCCTACCTAAACAGTACCTACCTAAATAATGCATTCACTGATTTATTAGCTTGTAGTGAGTCTTTTAAAAATATGTAGCTTTAACAATTCCATAATTCGGATAAATTGGCACACATCAGCAAAACATTTTTTAATACCATTGAAAATAGTATACCTAGGTACCTACCTAAATGGGCTAATGGCTATATGTATCTACTTACAATTAAAAACACGCGCCGAAACTTCATATTTGACCATTCTCGGGCTTGCAAGATCGCTTGTGGTCGAGTATATGTACGCATGTGCAAGCGCACTCGACTGCGGTCGCACTGCCCCGCCCGCTACCCGTGGTCTAGTCAGCACTTCAGCAATATTCTCATTCTCATGGCGAGGAAACCAACTGGACATATTTTTACTTCGATATAAAACACTAATTAAAATAAAACAAAATCAACTATTAATCACGTCGAATTTCGGCATCAAACTAGTCAACCAAACCGCTTGGCAGAATGGCAACCCAAAGCATTCTCAACGGAGCTTGCTCACATACTTACAGACTTACAGAGGGGCGTGTGTGCATCGTGTATGCCGCTTGTTGTGGTTGCGTGAACGGTCATGCTCATTAATCGCTCATGCAAGCAAGGCATTTAATAATTCGGTTTTCGCTAACCTAAAATAAAATCTACCAAAACTACCACAAAAAGGTATCATTTATTAGGATTGCTTTTTTCTCACTTCAGCAACACCTGAATTTTACTGTCATCTGTTGATCTGTCAAAAATTGTTCGAAACATCTTAGTGCTGTGATAAACAACAATTGAGGCTAATTACTACAACAAATCACTTTAAATTGTATCTCACACCTACATTTTTATATACACATCTGATTTCAAACAAAAACGACTTGTTTCTGGCACGTCCAGCGCTTTGTGTAATGTGTGATAATTGAAAATCCGCGCGTTATGGCATCTGGTTCCAAAAACGATATAGTTAATAGATTACTTAACATAAGATTAGATGATGGAGGTGGTGGAGATGAGCCGCCGCCGCAGAACATGCTCCCGTCCAACCAGCAGGCGCGGCAGCTCGGGCAAATACAGGAGGAAGACAACGGAGAAGTGAGCGAGCCAGCCCCCTCGTCCGCCGCGATAGAGAACCCTCAACCAATTAATAACACTGGCGGCCGCCTGCACAACTGGCAGGCGACGAAGACGACCGTCAAGGATAGGCTGTCGTTCCTCTTTAACAACGAAATTCTAAGTGACGTGCATTTCATTGTCGGCAAAGACGCCAACCAGCAAGTGATACCGGCGCACAAGTTTGTGTTGTCCGTGGGCAGCGCGGTGTTCGACGCCATGTTCAACGGAGTGCTGGCCACAAAGTCTGATGAGGTAGAGCTGCCTGATGTGGAGCCCGCAGCCTTCCTACATTTGCTAAAGTTCCTATACTCAGACGAGGTGCAGATTGGGCCAGAGAGTGTGATGACTACACTGTATACTGCCAAAAAGTATGCTGTGGCTGCACTGGAGGAGCATTGTGTTGATTTTTTAAAGAGTAATTTGGGAACTGATAATGCATTTCTGTTATTAACTCAGGCTCGGTTGTTTGATGAGCCACAGTTGGCCTCTTTGTGCCTGGAAATTATAGATAAGAATACTGCTGATGCATTAAATGCTGAAGGCTTCACAGATATTGATCAAGATACACTAAATGCAGTTTTGGAGAGGTATGTTTCTGAGAATTTTGTAAATAGTCATAATATTTGTTTAGTTTATCTATTTGTAAAAAAGTAATATAAAAAACCTGAAATAGTTAACAGATCTGCAGTGAACCCATAATTTGATACTTTTGAAACATCAACAAATACAAAATAAATAATAGTCTGTCAGTCAGTCCGTCACTGAAGGTAGGTGAAGTTAGGTGGTCATTCCAAAATGTAGATTTGAATGGAGAAGGACGAACAAGAAACTACATTTGTAACTCTTTTCAAAAAAAGTATGTTCTACAATGCCATTGAAGATGTTTATTATTGATTCAATTCATTCAACCTACAATGATTAGATTGACTAAAATTGGGAAGGTTATTGGTCTTGTTCCAACTTGTTAAGCAATTTACACATTGGTGATAATTGTTCAAACAGTTCCATAGCAACAAAAACGATACAAACTAAGTTCAAATCTTCAAATAGTTATCTTTAAACTGTCAAACACCAAGCGGTCACCGGTGACCGCAACCTATTGTTCTTTAATTGTGTCTATAAATACGGTACTTGACGAGTTAAATGCAATTAATTCTAAAACTAGTCTTGACTCTTTTCTAGTTACTATTATCATTTAAGTCGGTAGCTAGTGACAGTAATATTGTACTGTAAAGTTGTTTAATATTTGATAGTACAAAGTAAGCCATTCAATGTAATAATATTTTTGGAGATAATATCTGCACCTAATCAAATTTTTTTGATAAAATACTTGCTGTTGACATAAAAATGTGTATAAATAATATCTTCTGTACAGTAAACAGTAATTCTGAATTCCATCTATGTCAAATAAGTTTCCTAGAATCATGCCGTCTTTTATATAAAGATAAACAAGTAATATACAATTATGTCATATCACTACCAAAAGAATAATTGAATTAGAGGTATCAAAAGACAGGGTCTAACAAAGCCATTTGTCCATTTACCTAATGAAAATGCATTTCATTGAATTTGAAGATGAATCGAAAACATTACCTAATTGCTTCTTCAGAAAAGTGTTTACAAAAATAAGAAGTTACAGAACACATTGATATTTCTGTGGAAAAATCTAATTATAGAATTCTGTTTACCTACATTCACACTTGCATTTTCCTGGATTTTTATTTCTTGGAATGAATGTCTGTATGTTTACGATCTTGTCGATCTTCGTTACTGAGAATTGGTGTTATATGTTACTGGAATGAACATTGGTGTAACAAATAGCTTTTCATTGACCAATCGTAGTATAAATTTCGAGTTTACATGTGGTTTTACCGACGGTTACGGTTAGTGGGAGAGAGAAAATGTTGCCATAATTTAAATGCCTGGAATCCAGCTTGAGGATTGCATCGCATCGCGGTTATGCTTCCGAAAATTTTGATGATGCTGTGTTCCGTCTCTCTCAGTCTTCATCGCCGTTATAATATTTGAAATTCCCAGACCCAACAGTTTAGTTCAGGTTATAAGTAATTTCTCTTTTTCTTCAGGGATACTCTCCGCATCAGAGAGGCTAAAATCTTCTCAGCAGTGATCCGCTGGTCGGAAGCTGAATGCATAAGAAGACAGTTACCAGTTACACCTTCCAATCAAAGGATGGTTCTTGGAAGAGCATTCAACGCCATCAGATTTCCTCTAATGTCGGTAAAAGAATTTGCCATGGGCCCTGCGCAAAGTGGTCTCCTGGATGACCGGGAGATTGTACAACTGTTCCTATACTTTACCGTGAATCCTAAACCTAATGTTGGGTTCCTAGATGCCCCAAGGTGTTGTATGACTGGCAAAGAACTAACGGTAAACAGGTTTCCCCAGACAGACTCAAGGTGGGGATACTGCGGAACTACTGATAGAATTAGGTTTACAGTTGATCAGAGAATTTTTGTAGTCGGCTTTGGACTGTATGGATCGTATTATGGGCCGACGGAGTATGAGGTGCATTTACAGGTTAGTTGCACATTTTATACTAAAATATGCCTTGTTCACACTACGCTAGTATTTTAGTCGAGTAGTGAATATTCAGTAGTCCTCTCTCGCTTCTGGCTCAAAATGGAATTAACAGAGAACTACAAAATATTCGCCACTCGAACAAATTACTAGCGTCCTACGAACAAGGCATTAGAGCTACGTGCCTACAGCGTGCAAACTTGAATAATAATTTTATTACAGATTGTCCATTTGGCGACGAAAAAAGTATGCGGTTCAAATACGACGACTTTATGCTGCGACGGTACCGACGACACATTCCGCGCCATGTTCAAGGAGCCAGTGGAGATTCTACCCAACACTTCCTACATAGCCAGTGCTAAACTTAAGGTACTTAAGGTTTTTTGACTAATACTTTGTGCTTCTGTCGAGCAGTTACGAAAACCATTTAACACATGCTGTAGAATCTAATTACTAAATTGGGATTAAAGAAAAAATGTGTACCAGTATATATAAATTTGTTTTGTTTCGTTTTTTTATTTATAATTTAACTCGTCGAGTACCGGTTTTATAGACACAATTAAAGAACAATAGGTCGCGGTCACCGGTAACCGCTTGGTGTTTGACAGTTTAAACTCTTATTATTAATATAGTATAAACTCTTTATGAAAATCTGCAATCAATGACTATTGCGCAAAGTTGCGCATTAATGAATAATTGCGTAAAGTTTGCGCAACTAATGTTGTTGATTTGTGTATCCTTACCAAGTTTCATTGCTTGTGTGAGATATTTATTAGATTTTAAACTTTAACACAATGAGCTTAGTGTTTAAGGTCGAGATAAGAATGAACTGATACACATTACTTTTCTTTAATTCCCAGATGGGTGTGAGGAAAGCACTTCAGCTCAGAAAGACCAAAACGCTCACTGTTACTGTTTATAATTGCAAAAAAAATCCCGCGCAAAAAGGTTGTACGTTCATAATAAAGATCGCTTCGGGCCGGCGCCGGGAAGTGACCCTACTAAAAAAAGGCCAGTCCATTGCTTTTGGGCCTAAAGCAATACTTTTTAAGTAAATATGAAGTTTGAAGAGGTGAGGATTTCCCAGTAGAAATCTTCATTCATATTATGATTTTTTGCGTTATGTTTTGTTGTGCATGAGTCACCTTTTGTTTCTAGAATGCTCTCCTAGTTTGAGGTCTTCTGATTCATTAGTCTTAAGTCATCTGGTCATAGTATTATTGCAATCTATTCTTTTATTATTAAGTTTCGATGTATTTTAGTATATTTTTGTTACTGCCCTGAATGAACACGTATTCTCTCAGATCTCACTATGATGGATGCTCGATTAACCCCTTTACTTATGTCCGTAATTTGCCCTTTCACTCTCAAGGGCTTGCAATCTCCAGGGTTCCTTCGAACTACATCTTCAATTTACTGCACTCCATCAATCACTGAATCCTACCCCTGGATTGACATAAGCTGTACAACCAATTACGTCTGATTATGTCAATCCCATACATTGCCTTTGCTATATATTGCATCCCATATAATTGGCTAGCGTTCAGCTGAGGAGCAGTTCACAGTCAAGTCAATGAACTGCTGTTCAGCTTTCGAAGATCAGATTAGAGACATATTTTTCTAATTTCATTCTTTTTTCCAGGGCACCGATTCTTACTACGGTACAAAAGGCCTTCGGTGGGTAACAGTCGACTGCAATAACGGTGAGAAGGTCGTATTCCAATTCTCTTACGCTGCCGGCAATAATAACGGCACCTCCGTAGAGGACGGCCAAATACCGGCCATTATTTTCTACATTTAATATTTTAATCCCGCGTATATAGTGGCAACATTTGTAGCTGGTTCTTAAATTAAATTTTAGGCTGGCAACACTTCATTGAGGATGTCATGTGTGTAATGCTTTTGTGTAGCTTATGTGCATATTTTATATCTGTTGTATCAAGATTTCTACTTTCTACGGTTTCTGGAAATATACCGCCATTACTGAAAAAAGATAGAAGAAAGAGATCCAGCCAGTCTGTCTCGTTTACTCTGACATCTTGTTTTTTTTATTATAGGAGCATTACATACATGTCTAGAAGCCTTTTATTAGGCCCGTTCCATTTATTACACAAACAAATTTAAATGGAGCGGGCTTTATGAAAAGTGATCTTTTTAATAATTATGTAACATCGAGATTTGTAGTCTGAAATTGAATTCGTGCGTGCTTTGTGAAATTGGCTGTCATTTAGCATCAAAACTTTTTTTTTTAGACCAGTTGCCCACTACCACAAGTTTCAGTTAAAATAATCGACTTTCATTGGTAGAGGCAAAACTGGGTCTTATGGACAATGTAATAAGTGTCACATTTTCTAAGCTTTTGTACGTAGTGAAAACGTGGTTTTAAAATAGATATCTTTCAATATATTCGTAACTATATAGATACCAACTCTTTTTAATCAATACTTTAGATATGCCGTTAATAAAACAGTGATTTCAAAATAACATATCAATCTTCTGCTTCATAAAGATTTTTAAATTCATATATTACTGTAGGACAGGGGTTTTAAATAAATAGACAGTATAAATGCCAGTTCACGCTTTAAAACTAGCAGACAGGTAATTGAATTAAGTATGTATAGAAATTTTGTACGTTGAAGGAACAGTATTGCTAAATTAAAACGAATTTTAGTACATTTTTGTGTCACAAAAATTATTACGTTTATTCTAAGGCTTCGCAATAAAGAACTAGAATATTTTGTTATATTAAAATGGTGTTGTGGATTATTAATATTATTATGAATATTGGACTTCATCAAGTACTAATATTTCCAGTATTTTATCTAAATTTATGTCCAATTGAACTGAAATCATAGCAGCCAAAGTGTGCAGACTTATAGGTACTCTAATTAATCATTGTATATTAAACAGGACTTTACAACACTGGCAATACTAATTTAATAGCAGTGGTTTTTTTTGCACAATAACCTCAGTGTTGCCAATTAATAAAGAGTCTTAGATTTCTACTATTAAAGATTATGTATTGTTTTTCTTGTTTAATATGCATTGGTTATACTTTAATGTTAATAAAAATTTTAGTAGTATTATAATATCGCTTCTTCTCTAATTTAGAAAAGTATAAACAGTTACGCCACATTGTAAGAGAAACTTGCTTACTGGCAGACTGTGGCATTATGTTGGCAGTGAATATTTAGCCAACATTACAATGCAAAATTAATAAATAAAAGCTTTTAAAAACAATTATACTACGTTGTAATCACAATATTACTGAAGCACAGCCAATATACTTTGACCTATGGTTCAGCGCTGAGAGTGAGACGCCAATAAGATTGAACGATTATGAGTGAAAGAGATAACTATAAGTTTGTAGCGCACTTCATACTGGTCAAGTTATGTTGGCTGTGAACCTTCCTTTTTTACGTAAATCTGTGATAAGCTTGCGAAATGAATGAACAACTTCATAATTGTATTATTATATTTGTTATGTGTGTGGTAGCTAAAGTATTTATGGGACCATAAAAAATGGTCGTTTCCTTTCAAAAGTAAAATAATTCCTAAAATGAATCTTGTTAGTTTGTAAATAAGTTGATTAATTTATTGTTATAATCTTCATTTAAATGTTTTATTATTTTATCTGTGCGTCGATTACGTTTATGTGTTGACATTAGAAAAATATATACAATACCTACCGCATAAATGTTTTTAAAATTATTAGATTTTTTTATAATGCATTTGAATTGCTTTTTCCACAGATTACATTTTATTTATTATTGTTTATTAAACTTAGTTCAAGTGAACTGCCAAAAAAATATTATGAAACATAAATAAATCCGTTAGGTAAATCAATAATATTTCTTTGGGCATTTAATCATATTTGCAAGTCTTGTAGTTTACTCAATGCCAAAGTAATTTAAAATCATTTATTGTTAAAATAAATGATGAATATGTATAAAATTATTACTTATGTACTATGTGTGAAATTGTTAGTCCTTTGTGTGGGTATAAGTTAATCCACTTGATTTCAAGACAGCTAAATGTTCTCTAAAGTCCATTTTTGTATTAAAAATGGAATGATCTATTTTTCTGCTCTCCCATTAGTTATTAAACCACACGAATGGCTAACAATATCCAATAAGAATAATAAGAATTATGTAAAATCCAATAATACGTGTATTTACAAACTCTTCCTTAGTATAAAATTAATAGTCCTTTCTTTAAACTCAAACACCAAGCGGTCACCGGTGACCGCGACCTATTGTTCTTTAATTGTGTCTATAAAACCGGTACTCGACGAGTTAATCTTCATAGACCGAATAAAAGTCAATATTGGTACTTTCTAGTCAAAATAAATATATATAGACATGTCCTCAATGTCTAAAAGGTGCACGGTCTTATCAATTTGGACGTATTTGTAAAAATATCCGCGTATTTTTATGTATTTTACACATACGTCAATTTTGGTAATGATTGTAAATCAATCAGTCAAAAATTAAACATTAGTTTGATATTTTAATTGTAGATGTCTGGCAAGTTTTTATGGAAAAGACAGTTGTGTCTACTTAGCTAAAAGGATTCCATTTGATTCCGTAATAATTTCGCTGTTCAAACATTAAATTACCTACTTACCTGTATTATTTTCATTCCATCAAGAATTCAAGTTATACCAAATGGAATCCTACTCTTGTTTCATTTCTTCCTCGAAAATGTATTGTTCTTGTTATATTTATTTTTGTTTACCTATACATAGTTTGACATTGTATCTAATATTAAACCTTATTGTGTTTGTATAAAGTTCGTATTAGATTGCGTGGGAGCGGATGCAGGAATTGAGGTGTAATAAGCATAAGAAATGGATTTAAATGAAACAATATTTTGTATAGAGGAACTGATGTTGGTCTAGATGTCGTCAATAAATAATAACACTCATAAAACTGCTGTTTTATTGTATTTATAGCTTGTAGTCTACCTATCTAGTATCTAGTAATTACCTCACAGTCTCCTTAACCGAAAACAAGAAAAGTAAATTCATGTAAGCTTTGACGCTTTTACTATACTCGGTCACGCAGAGTGAGCGCCCAAGTGGAAATATACCTATTTCTCTGGCATCTTCTGAATTTATTCTTCAAATCTGTAGAGTAACATTCAGTCACACTGCCTTATTGGCGTGCTCCAAAGATAGATACAAAATGTGTAGTGAGTTTAGTCCATTCTCTCAACATGGCCAATTGTTCCAGAACCTAACGGGTTATCGGGGCTCCGGCTCGACGTGCAGGAGAAGGAACGGGGTGGTTTTTAGTCAGTAAGAGTCTGATACTCCCTTCCGCCTGACTGAGGCGGGAGCAATCGTTCGATGATTTTCCCCCTTCAAAAAAAAACATCAGTAAGTTGGTAAGTAATCATAGTCTCGATTTTCTTACTGCTATTGGTAGAATTCGTTATTAAGTAGCAATACCAAGATTTTACTGTCACGCGTCAAAAAATAAATTCTAGACATCTTCCTACTGTGATAAACAATAATAAAATAGTGGCGAAAATCGTTACTACTGCGCTTAAAATTGTGTCTCAGAGCAACGTTTTTCGTAAATATAACAGTTCGTAAACATAAAGTTAATTAAGGCATTTGTGGCCTACCGTGTAATGTACTACAGCTGAAAAATCACTCGTTATGGCATCTGGGTCTAAAAATGATATAGTTAATAGATTGCTTAACGTAAGACTGGATGACGGAGGTGGTGGAGATGAGCCACCGCCGCAGAACATGCTGCCGTCCAACCAGCAGGCACGGCAGCTCGGGCAAATACAGGAGGAAGACAACGGAGAAGTGAGCGAGCCAGCCCCCTCGTCCGCCGCGATAGAGAACCCTCAACCAATTAATAACACTGGCGGCCGCCTGCACAACTGGCAGGCGACAAAGACGACCGTCAAGGATAGGCTGTCGTTCCTCTTTAACAACGAAATTCTAAGTGACGTGCATTTCATCGTCGGCAAAGACGCCAACCAGCAAGTGATACCGGCGCACAAGTTTGTGTTGTCCGTGGGCAGCGCGGTGTTCGACGCCATGTTCAACGGAGTGCTGGCCACAAAGTCTGATGAGGTAGAGCTGCCTGATGTGGAGCCCGCAGCCTTCCTACATTTGCTAAAGTTCCTATACTCAGACGAGGTGCAGATTGGGCCAGAGAGTGTGATGACTACACTGTATACTGCCAAGAAATATGCTGTGGCTGCACTGGAGGAGCATTGTGTTGATTTTTTAAAAAGTAATTTGGGGATGGACAATGCTTTTCTGTTGCTAACTCAAGCTCGGTTGTTTGATGAGCCACAGTTGGCCTCTTTGTGCCTAGAGATGATAGATAAGAATACTGCTGATGCATTAAATGCTGAGGGGTTTACAGATATTGATCAAGATACACTAAATGCAGTGCTGGAGAGGTATGTTTGGCTTGTGTATTGAGTATACCTGTTATAAAACTAAAAATATAAAATTACACCGAGTGAAAGTAGGACAGTTTGATCTGAACTCTGTTGCCTCATGCTTTAACTAAATAAAAAACATTAGTTCATTGCTTTATCTTTTTTGTGTTCATAATATTTTTATCAGAATAACTTTTATTAACTATTAATACACAACCAGAGAGGTATAAATTTGCAGAACTGAATATAAATAGTTACTATACTCACTGGGTAATGCCAATAGATCCTTCATTGATAAGGAATTATTTAGAAGTACTCCCTGTTATCAGTAGGTACTTAGTAATTATTAGTTTACAGTACTGAAAGAAGACCATTGTCAACATGCCAACGTTTGGTACTTTGTATCAATGCCAGAATTATAATTATTTGATTAACATACATACATGATGCTTTGGTAGTCAATAATTTTTTTGCAATATAATCACATACCTGTATGAGTTGTTGCTTGGGTTCTTAATTATTATAAAGTTGCAATACCTTAAGCATTTAAATTAAGTAGTTGTTAAGTTAAATTCTGACCACTTTATGTGCCTTCATTTACCTTAAGCTGCAAACCAATTAACCAAACAAGCATTAATTATATTTCTATTGCATAACAAAACATAACATCACGCCTTTTATCCCCGAAGGGGTAGGCAGAGGTGCACATTATGCTACTACAATGTAACACCCACTTTTCACTTTATGTTATGTGTCCCATGTAATAGGGGGTGAGTTTATTGCCATACATCGGGCACAATTCGAGACTCCGTGCTACTACTGAGAATTTTTTTAAAAAGCCAGTATTAGTTTGCTCGACCTGGGAATCGAACACGAGAACCCTTGCCCGGCGGTCGCTCTTGCGGCCATTTGGCCAACGAGGCAGTCATTTCATTGCATAGCTAAATAATAGTTTGAAAGATTCTTAAAACAAAGACAACAAGAGCACCTTATAATTAAAAATTATGTACAATGTTATATAAAATTTACAAAATTTAATACGATACAGGCATTTATCAGTTGTTTCAACTGCCTGTCTGAATTAAATAAATAATAATAAATTTTGAGCCATTACATAATAATTTCCAACCTCTTTTACAGAGACACTCTACGCATCAGAGAAGCAAAAATCTTTGCGGCAGTGCTCCGCTGGTCAGAGGCTGAATGTATTCGCAGACAGGTGCCCGTCACGCCTACCAACCAAAGGATGGTCCTTGGAAGAGCATTCAATGCCATCAGATTTCCCCTAATGTCCGTAGAAGAATTTGCCATGGGTCCTGCACAAAGTGGTCTCCTGGATGACCGGGAAATTGTCCAACTGTTCCTATACTTTACTGTGAATCCTAAACCTAATGTTGGATTCCTAGACACTCCAAGATGCTGTATGACTGGGAAAGAGCTGACGGTGAACAGGTTTCCTCAGACGGAATCAAGATGGGGGTACAGTGGACCGACAGACAGGATTCGTTTTACGGTTGATCAAAGAATTTTCGTTGTTGGCTTTGGACTGTATGGATCGTATTTCGGGCCAACGGAGTATGAGGTGCACTTACAGGTTAGTGCTCATGTTGGTCCTTTTAATTACTAATGGTGGCCCGGAGGTTTAAGACGCCCGCTTCTCATGCATGAGGTTGATTTCGAAACCTACCAACGGCAAATACCAATGTGACTTTTTCCGAGTTATATGTACTTTCTAAGATTATTTAGACACCACTGACAAACGGTAAAGAAAAATATCGAGAGGAAACCTGGGCTTATAATAGTTATAATTTATAATTATAAGTTTGTAATCACCAACCCGCATTGAGCAAGCGTGGTGATTAATGCTTAAACCTTCTCCGTGTGAGAAGAGGCTTTGCTCAGCAGTGGGCATTTATAGCCTTTATAGGCTGTTGATGGGATGATGAGATTTATCAAATTAATTTTTGTTAACTTCACATGGAACATATCTTTGTTTCAGATAATCCACTTGGCAACGAAAAAGGTATGCGGTTCAAATACAACGACGTTTTGCTGCGACGGTACAGACGACACTTTCCGCGCCATGTTCAAGGAGCCGGTGGAGATTCTACCCAACACTTCCTACATAGCCAGTGCTAAACTTAAGGTAAGATAGAGGACATCACACTTAGGGCTCGTACACAAAACTGCAATGCGACGTCGCATCGCAAAAATGTGCGAGTTCCCTCTACGCATCGCAAGAAATTGTGAATTGATTCACATCATCAAAAATTTTGTCTTTCCAAAATCTTGTTTATTTCTTTTTCCTGTATCTCCTAAGCAATAACAAAAGTATAAAAGTGCACACTTCTTTTTACGATCCATGTCACGACCTAGTTTTCAATTTAAAATACGTTTAGTATTTACGCCTTGTCGCACGAAATCGCATCGCAGCAATTCGTGCAATTTTGTGTTCGAGCCCTTACTTAGTACTACTCTACTGCATATTTGCGATTGATGCTTATTATCGGTGTGCATCTAAATAAGTAAACTATGTAATTGGATATTAAAGAAAAGTAAATGTGTACCAGTTGTATTTCAAAATTGCAATTTGGTTGTGTACATTAACTGTTGTCACACATAATATGAGATGTCCTTGGAGGTATTGATCAATGGAAAAGGTAAATTGACAGTGCAATTCGGTTCAATGGTTATGGTCAATTTTTAATCTATTTGATCGATGTATCTCCAGGGACCAGAACAAGTTTGTTTTAAAACATGGTTCTAGAAATAAGAATGAACTGATACACATTTCTATTCTTTAATTCCCAGATGGGTGTGAGGAAAGCACTTCAGCTCAGAAAGACCAAAACGCTCACTGTTACTGTTTATAATTGCAAAAAAAATCCCGCGCAAAAAGGTTGTACGTTCATAATAAAGATCGCTTCGGGCCGGCGCCGGGAAGTGACCCTACTAAAAAAAGGCCAGTCCATTGCTTTTGGGCCTAAAGCAATACTTTTTAAGTAAATATGAAGTTTGAACAGAGGTGAGGATTTCCCAGTAGAAATCTTCATTGATTATTCTTGGTCGGTTTTTTTTTTAATTTTTTTTTTAAAGAAACTTAAGTTTGGGGGGTATTCTTTCTTTTTTTTATGATTAGGCATTATTGTGTAAGTTTTCAATTATTGTAAGCTCGTGACTTAATTTTATTCATTTTTTTTTCAGGGCACCGATTCGTACTATGGCACGAAGGGTCTTCGGCGTGTAACAGTTGACTGCAACAACGGTGAGAAAGTTGTATTCCAATTCTCGTACGCAGCCGGTAATAACGGCACTTCGGTAGAGGACGGCCAAATACCGGCCATCATCTTCTACATTTAATCTCAGTGGCAACACTAGCCATTAAATTTAGGGCTGGCAACATTTGTTTGCGGCTGGTTGTTTTGTTTTTGTATTTAATACTGCTATATTCTGTATTGTTAGTCTGAAGAACAAAAATTGAAGGACATAGGTTCTTTTTTAAAATTTTGTATTTCTTAGCTTTTTCGCTTCACAGACTATGTCATATTAAAGGACAAAAGTACGGAACAGACGAGTTGTAAAGGGATTAATGAATGTTGAGTTGAAAGACCAAGATCGAGTCATTTGGCGATATTTTAACAAAATGTTTTAAGATAATTTGCTCCACATCAAGCGACGGAGATAATAATAATATTATATGTAAAGTTTGGAACAATATGAGAGCACGTACACAAAACTGCGATTTCGTGAGGGCGACCATTCCTTCGACGAGCGTCAACCGTACTTAACGTATTTTAAATTGAAAATTAGGTCGTGACATGGATCATAAAAAGAAGTGTGCACTTCTGTTATTGCTTAGGAGATATAGGAAAAAGAAACAAAGAAGATAAGATATTGATGCGCGATGCGAATCAATTCGCAAGTTATTGCGATGCGTAGAGGGAGCTCACACATTTTTGCGATGCGACGTCATAACGCATTTCTGTTTACGAGCCCTATGTCGTACAATGGACGATAATTATCTTTATGATATGTCTAAGTTGTGAGGAGTCGGTGTCGAATGAATTGTGAAATTCATTTTTGCGATGCGACGCCGCATTGCAGTTTTGTGTACGAGCCCTAAGATTGTTGAATACAGACATTTCAGGGCTCGTATCGTCACTGGTATGATTCCAGGGAATGTCCTGACAATGAGTTCAGGTTCTGTACTCTAGATATTCTTGACATACATTTTCTTTTCGATTCTTTGGCAAACGAATCTCCAAAACGATCTTGTCGACTATACTGCCAGTGTCGAGTGGTGACGGCAGTTTAATGAACTGTCGAAACTAACTTTGTGGTAGTTTTTAAAAATTAATGCTAAACTTGACATGTGTGCTGTGTGCACTCCTAACTACCCTTTTGGTTAAAAAGGTTGTCTATAATAATTTACAAATGCTTGTGTTAAATAAAATTCAAATGTAGGGCTCTGGAAATTAATTTTGTACGAAGATTTGTAGTCTGAAAATGAATTCGTGCGTGTTATGTGACAAAAGAAGTCGTTTTGACTCAAAACTTATATTTTTAATTCAACCAGTTGCACACTTTATTTAATTTTATAAGATTCCAAATATTTTTACGAAACTACGTAAAATATCGGTGAATTTAGTTCTTATTACCATCAGAATAAGTGACATATTACCAAGAATATGGTAATTTAAAAATTAAAACACACTGTAATATAATAGTGATAAAATTTTGTCTACCATTCATTTTAGATAAACCTGTAAAACATAGCTATTTATAAATAACATATCAACCATTTGGATTTAGAAGTCGTTTAGTTAAATTACAAAATCATAACAATACGGTAGTTTCCTAAATTTTATTTTAATATCCGTCTGGTACATGAATTTAAAGCATTAGACACGTATTTGTTCTTTTCTCACAAAATTAAATACTTTCGACGATATATTAATTAGAAATATCGTGTGACGTCGCAGCGTGCCACATTTTGTAGCACGTTATGACGTAATAACCTCCCACTCCTAAACTTAGCGCAATTTTATCTAAGTAGGTATTGGAACTTAATATGAGAAAATAAAAAAATACGTGTCTAATGTTTTTTCATTATCTAACTGACGGACTAAATATATTTTTAATTTTGATACCCTGGAAACAACCCAATTGTAATAATACAGATATAAGCACTTTGTTTATAAGTCAATTGTTTATGTCCATAGATCCATATAAAGTTCTTCTTGACTTAACATAGCATATTATTTAATATAACTATAGTGTTGCCAATTAATAAAATACTTTCCTTTAATAGTAATAGAATCCGTTCTTCCTTTAATAGTAATAGAAGCTATTTTTTTCTGTGTAAAAACCTTTCGATACTAGTGTTTAATTATTTATTTAATGTTTATGGGTAACAGTAGAAAAATTATTTGTTACTGAGTTTTCTACTAATTGTAATACCTACCTATAGTTATCCTAAAATCGTGAAAGCTTTTTAAACCTTACTACTAATAAAATAATAAGAACCACGTAATTACGTGGAAACTGTTATACCAATAGTATTAGTGCTTTAACTTATCGCTATGCGATAGCGATATTGAATCGACAACACCTTAAATCACAGAGGCGCCATCTATGAAATGCAAATACGAAAAATAATTTGAAAACAATGAAAATTTTTATGTTATAACCGTTGTTCGGAGTATTTTTGTATATTCCATAGCAAATTGAAAGATTTAAGAAACGACTTAGAAAAACAACTATCATTATGGAGTGCGAAATATACGAGTTTGAACTATGTAAGTATGTATGTAAAATTTCTTTTTATTTAGATAAATCTGTGATAAGTTTTAAGAGTGAACAAAACGTTTATAATTTTAAATTGGCTTTTTTTATGAGACAGTAATAAATCATTAATGAAAAACACGGGTTTACTCACGTAAAATAACGAGGAAAAACTACTAGTTTCGATTCGAGTCACACAGTGAGTCTTCTTCCGGCCGTTCCCAATATTCAATCCATAGGTAAAGATAGATAGCTATCCTCGATAGTCAGTTAAAATCTATCTATCTTTAGATGTCGTCCCAATAACTAAAATGTGTCTTTGCTATCTCTAGATATCAGTAGATAGGGTGCCTATCTGAGCCCTCCCGTGTGTTTCATTGTATGCAGAGCTCCACAGAGTGCCACTAAGTTACAATAATGTTTTTAAAGCATCTTGTCATGTTTATATCACAAACATTTTGAATTAACTAACGAAACCTTATATTTTGCACTAATTTTATATTAAACAATATTTTTTTAAGTTTAATATAACGAAAACTTCATGTTTGCGACTGGAATAGTAAACGCGACTTGTAACGGAACGTATTTGTTAAAACATTGACATTTGACATTGTTGTTTGTTGATTTTGTTTCAATGATATTTGTTTACAATAAATTGTGATAATATAACAAAGAATTGTTTGTTATTAAAATGACCTCAGTAAGTATTACAGTTTGTGCTTTTCTAGCTTTAGATTGAAGCTATCGAAGTTTTAAAGTTCTTGATTACATGAACATACATGCGACTAATAACTCATGTTTGGTGCACTCATTGCAGCAAAAGAATATGCTATTGACGAAAGAAGAAGTAATGCAGCTGGTACAATTGGTGGAGGCAAATCTATTGATGTTCAGCAAAGCCACAAATGCAAGCAATAATCAGCTCAAAGATGCGAGGATTAGGTATCACAGATAGTTTCTTGTGTATTTCATTTTTGGGGTTTGGTATTGGTTATGACTAATTACATTTCAATACTGTTTGGTTACAAAACTTTTATATGGTGGTTGTAGTGAGGACCAAATTGGAATAATACACTGAATAATATTTTTCTAGGAAAACAGAAAAGACGAGCTGATGCAGATGAAATGAGTCAATTACAGATTGAAATCAGGCAATCGCAGAATATTATTTCCAAGTCAAAAATGATACACGACGATGAAATACATGCATTAAAGAAACGGAAACTCTAGCTACATATACTGGAGAAGGAGAAACAACCCAATAATAATTCATGTATTTAAATAAATTAAAACAGTTTATTCTAAACCATCTTTCTTTTTACACTGTGTAATTTTGCAACACATAATAATTAAAATAAATATAATAGTAAGAATAACTGACCTATCTATATTGATACAATTATAAATTTCTCAAATTTAGTCTTCTTAGCCTAAATCTATACACAAACTCGTAATCGTCATATCTGTACATGTAATTAACACGCTCTTGATATGATCGTGTTGTGGTGTGGTGAGCACATTGTCCTCGTCAGATCCCCAGTTCCTTATTTGTTCCAAAATATCAATAGCACTTGAACTACTACTTGAACTGGAGACCAACATGATTTTTTTTGTTTAAATCTGATGTATTTTTAAGAAATAGAAAAGATATGTAACTGATCTTCACTGATAACTATACTCCTATCCATCAAAATCCTGCGATAGAGCTATAGCCTACTAGGGATAACCAAAGCTACTGACAGATAGCACCTTTGTTATTATTGGGACGCGTGAACTGTCAATTTCATAGTAAAAGCAATCTGTAGATAACCTATCCGTCCTCCCACAGGTAATGACAACCATAGATTAGTTTGCCTATCGCCAGTAAGTTTATTGAGACGGCAAATTTGAAGATAGATAGATTTTTCTATCTCCAGTAGGGCAAAACAAGGGATAGATAGAATATTGGGAACGGCCGTTCGTGAATAGAGTGCGCCGATACATGGCGACGTCGCCTATCGCATTCGTAACGTAATAATTTCGAGCGCGTTCGACGCTCTGATTGGCCGGCCTCAGTGGACCAACCAATCAAAGTCGAACGCGTTCGATACTATTACGTTATTTATTCGTGAATGCGATAGTAATTCGTGCGTGGCACTACAGAGTACGTCTACAGAGACGTACGTAAATAAACCGGTGTTTGTATTAATGAGTATGTCTCACGATAGTTATTATACAAATACAGTGATAAATCATGTCCGTTACTATAAATTTCAAGTAAGATTACCTTTGAAAAGAATCTTATTAGTTTTATTTCATAGATTAGTTGTGTTTTATTTATTGTTAAAATTTAATAGTCTTACGAATATGTAGTGAAAGGAAGAAATATTCTGTTTGTACCTTTTCAAAGATGTTATTGGAGATATTTTTTTGTGTGGGGGCTTATAAAGATGTATTGGTGAACTGTATAGAAACAATATCTAAAGATTGTTTTTGTTTGTCAAATATTTAGCGAGTAAGACATTATGTTCTTATTTCATACTTTTAAAATTGTAAATTAGGCACTAAATTACCAATTGTATTTCTTAAAATTTCTTTTAAAAATTATACAGAAAGTTGATCGTCGAATTTTTTTTTAATTGGCCCTTCTAGTCAATGTATTAACATTTTTCTAACATTGCTAATCCGGCTATAATTATGTGCACTGGTCACATTTTGTATATTATGTCATCCGTTTGTGTAAATATGTCAAAATAAGGAATAACCATTTAACGAACGATTAATTAATTACTTTAATCGAAAAATCTTTGTCTAATACCTCCACTTATGAAAAAGGATCCTGTTCGACTCGCCTACTAAAATGTGACTTTTAAACGAGAAAGGTGTAAAATGTAAATACATTAATTTCTACCTTATAACAGATCATCCTCTATGGCTCCCATTTTTTAACAGTTCCTGAGGCCTATACTGACATAAAATCCTATACACAGTGAAATGAAATCTAATTCGTTTTCGTCCCGAAGTAAAATGATTCTGTCTTGGTAATACAATTGTTTTACAAAGAAATAAAAACAAAAACAACTGGTGAACCATTACAAAAAGCAAACTTCGAAAGCGCATACGAATTCATAGTACCTACTTATCAAAACATTACGCTATATGTAATTCTCGAAGAAGTATTTGTCGTCATGTGGCACGTGCGATGCGAATCACAGAACATATAAAGGAGGATAGAACGGCCTTGTGGGCGGTACACGCGTGCCGCGGTTATGATCAAATTCTCTGAGTCTACCAAAATGTCAAAAACCGGCCATCAAACGCAATGTTGTTGTGACAGCGTACGGAACTCCGCAAATAATATTAAATTATGCCGTCTTGGACTATTGTAATGTGTCGGAAAAGAAGACAGGTGTGCAATGTAGCACGAGAAGGGATTTCTTTCCACCACTGACTCTAAAAACATTAATATACTTGTGATATTTGTAATTATAACATTAATATTATGACGTTTCTGGACAAAAACGACATTATCGCAAGCAGTATACATTGCTTGCAATAGATACGTACCATTTTGCACTACATAAACGATCGCGCAATGTATTACGTTCACAACGAGAGTCCCGAGTATCAAATTAAAACGTCATTTTCTCGAATCGATATAGAGAAGTGTCAATTTGTAAACAATGTCGATAATTACTATGATTCAAAGGATTATTATCAAATTATATACATTATAACTAAAATAATTTTATGTATTACGACTGATTATGAAATAGGTTTTAAGTGAGGCATTTTATTCGTATTTCAGATTTATATAATTTTTATGTGTTCGTTATGTTTTGTTCAGTAAGTTTTATGATTTAGGAAATTTTATTTTACATTTCTACCTTGATATCATCTAAGCGACATCTAAATCATTTTTCGTAAGATGGATACTCTTTCATACATGCTTAGGCCCAAATTGTAAATAGTTGAAACTATGAAAAATTCTTAAAAGCCAGCCGAAATCTTAGTCAATAATTTAAAATAGTTGTTGAGGTTTTCTATTCGAGAACAAAGCTATGACAACAAATAAAATGACATTATATCCTGGGAGCGATTGTATTGTACCTTTTTTAAGAATAGCTATGTACACCTGATGACTTTTCTAGTTTTCAGAGCTGACTTAATTTACGTGAGCTAAAATATTGTGTTGGCCTGGAGGTTGGGGCGCTGTTTCATACAACTTATACGTACTTTCTAAGTTAATTTGCACACCACTCACATTCAGTAAAGGAAATTATGTAACCGAAACTATATAATAATTCCTATTTATATTAACTATTAAAGAAATACGAACGACGATTATCGGTTGTCATCATACGAATGTCATGATGATGTTAGATACAGAGACAATAACAGAGTTTTGACCACAGATTAGATATATCATGATATGGTTACGTTATGATAATTCTCAATATTTCATTATTTTATGATTTTTCATTCCATAGGGAGAAATTACGCTATCTTTTATATATTTTGAATTAAGTAAAAATCTATTATTTTTGACCCCATGATTTCCCGGACTCCTTTTATTTTTATAAAACTTACAGTTGAAAACAAAATAAAATCGAAATAACACCTTTTCGGTTCTTTATACTTTTTTGATTACTACCAATCAAGAATTTACTTATAATTATATTCCATGTCAAATTATTTTAATGTTAATAGTGTAATTGATTTTAAAAATCAATTATGTATTTTTCTATGTATAGTTATTTACATTAACGTAAATACATGTACACAATATGCCTTATACAAATCCGCATAGTCCGCAATGCATGTAAATTAAGAAGCTAGATGCCATTAATTTTATCGATATCAATAATCGACCTTTCGCTCCCTCTACCATATATGAGTTTTTTACGCCTGTATTAGTGTATGTCAAACGAAGTGATTGCGTCAGTGTGACGACCAATAACAAATCATTTAACCTAGTGCGTGTTGTTTATTTGTGTGCATTTTCCGCGTAGGTATTGGTCTCTTGCTTGTAGTAAAGTTAAAGAGTGGGGGACAAACGGCGACGCGTGTTCTAATGCAAATCAGGAACTATTTCCTTTCTAACCTTCTTTATATGTTCTGTGATGCGAATAGTGCCTACAAATTTAAGTCTAGTGTTTCATGTGCATATTCCAATGAACTTTTTTAAACTAAACAAATTTGACGTCTTAATTTTTTTATTTTTACTTTATACGTCTAAAGTACTCCATATGGCAAGTTGTTTTGCCGCAGGACGAAAATGAAATAGATTTGATTTTTGTGTATTGTAATTAGAGATGCCACGAATATTCGGCTACTATTCGGTATTCAGCCTATTCGGCCACTTTGTTTAGTATTCGGTATTCGGCCGAATAGTACCTATTATTTGGCCGAATACCGAATACCAAAACATGGAAAAAAGACACATCATATAAATCAAGATATGTATTTATTATCAAATTACAATAATATCTCATAATATTCCCATATGGCCGATTTTTTATTAATTGGTGTCATTTTTAATTGAACAAACAATTGGAAAAGAACTAACAAACAAACTTTTCTACAAAATCGTAATGTTTTATTTAAATTGTTATTTATATTAATCTGACAAAGCGTGCCGTGACGTGATTTACTCGCAATTGAAACACTCAAATAGTCTAGCCGCACACTGCCCGCGCACGTTGAAGACAGGTCGCAACCTGTCGTATTAGTGTTTATGCGCTCGACTAACATGTACTTAGTGCCGAATATTCGGCGCTTCGGCCAAATCACTATTCGTGGCAACTCTAATTGTAATCTTTACCCACCGATCCGTAATACCACAAGCAACCATGCAACAATCTGACAAAATGCAACCCCAGAAATGTCATTCGCGTACAATAGACACAAAATATTTTTTTTAAATCAATATGTGATGCGGACGTCAAACGGAATCCTTCGTGATAAATTTAAAAATAAATTCTTCTTTCTATTGTTTATAGTCTGACAATTGTATCTAATCTAATATTAGACCTTATTGTGTTTGTATAAAGTTGGTATTTGATTGCGTGGGAATAGACGCAGGAATTGAGGTGTAGTAAGCATAAGAAATGGATTTAAATGAAACAATATTTTGTATAGAGGAACTGATGTTGGTCTAGATGTCGTCAATAAATAATAACATTAGAATTGGTGTTTCATTTTGAGGCCTAAAAATTTACTGACTATAGAACCAGGTGTATGAACTTTAAGTAAGTGTATCAACATAAACAGCCAGATGTAACCCACAGCTGGACCATGCACCTCTTCTTCATAAGATGGGTGACAATTCAAGGTTGAACATTAATTTATATTATTACTAGCTGACCTGGCAAACTTTATACAGCCTCGATCATTGTTTTTCACATCATTTAACCGCTTGAATGCCCGTATATGAGACAATAGAAAATACATTGTGTCTCGCGTGGATCCACGCTTAGACACACGACGGGTTAAACCATCCCAGGACTAGAATTTATCAAATCGGTTCAGCCGTTCTTGAGTTTTACTGAACAGAAATTTACTTTTATTTATAAAGATTATTAAAACAAAACAAAAACATGAAAATAATGAATTATAATTATTAATCAATCACAAATCCGAAACACATTACCAAAGTTTAATATCTAATATGATTGTAAAAATGTTAATATTGAACTCACCCATTTAGTTCCTACATTTCATTTTGAACTGATTAGGTTTTGACAATTATGTACAAACGTTTTTATTTAAAAAAAAAAACGTTGCCTCACTCTAGATGATCTGATTGTAAAAGCATCCACGCTACGGAGAAAAATAACCTAGATGGGGGACTAAAAAAAAATGATTGAAGACTATGAACATCCCATCTCATTTTGCCACTCCACGTGTCTTTTGGTGAGGTTCTTGGATACCGGCTTCGTCTTCTCAATGGCTGTCAGAATGTCTGCCAAGTCCAGTCTATCCTTGCGATTTGGTACTTGAGCTGAAATGAAACAGTTTACATGGAAAGCTATTCGTGCATGCCACATGTATTCTACTAGAATCTAACTAAAAAGTTGTGTTTTAGACATAAGTTTTTTTTAAGGGGGGAAAATCATCGAATGGCTTCTCCCGCCTGGGTGAGGCGGGAGGGAGTATCAGACGCTTACTGACTAAAAACCACCCCGTTCCTTTTCCTGCACTTCGAGCCGGAGCCCCGGTAACCCGTTAGGTTATCCACGACTCCGAATCGGCATCAGCCCTATTGGGCCCCATCCATGATGGTCAGATGGCTCTTTGAGGCGCGCGCGAAACGCGACGCGCCGTACGCTTTAGACATAAGTTTACCGACTAGTTAAAAAAAACAAGGATTATGTATGTTTTTTTCTCTTGTCCTATTCTCTACTTAGTGAAGGCTAGTAAAGAGTATTTATTTGTAGACTAGCTTTTGTCAGCCTATGTCTTATTTCAGATCATAATCTACCCTTGTTTTGTTCCAAACACCCCGATCCTTTTAGCCCTTATGACGTGATTGAGTGACACAAATACACACAAAACTCACATACTTTCGCAAGTATAATATTAGTAAGATACAACATAATAACATCACGCCTTTTATCCCCGAAGTGGTAGGCAGACGTGCACATTATGCCACTGTACAATATAACACAAATAAATAAATAAAATAAATAAATAAACACCCACTTTTCACCATTTATGTTATGAATCCCATGTAATAGGGGGTGAGCCTATTGCCATATACCGGGCACAATTCCAGACTCCGTTCTACTACTAAGAATTTATAAAATACACAGTTGTACTTTGCCCGACCTGGGAATCGAACCCGAGACCCCTTGCCCAGCAGTCGCACTTGCGACCACTCGGCCAACGAGGCAGTCTCATTGTATTTTCCAAGTTACTTAATCGACTAAGACTTGTACGAGTGTTCGTTGTCAATCTCATACCTACCTATGACAATTATCAACTTAATCGTTAATTATTACCTTTCCCACTCATAGAGGGCAGCATCTTCCTAACATTACACATCAGAGCCTCCTTGCACACCAACTTGATATCACTCCCGGAATACCCCTCAGTCTTCGAGGCGAGTTCTTTTAGGTCCACCTTTGGAAACAGTTCTACGTTCTTCGCATTCAAGTATTTCTGGAACAACTCCTCACGGGTCTTGAAGTCTGGCAGGGGAATGTATATTCGCTTCTCTAGTCTTCTCAACATGGCTGGGTCAATGTCCCTGAATATAGAAATATCTAGAATAAACAGCCTGGAATTTATATATGGCTCAAAACTATCTGGTTATTTTTTATTGGGACAAGCCCGCCACAACCTACCAAAACCGCTGCAACTCCTGTAAGCCAGGATCTATAGTAGATACAACCATGAAAACACCGGAACACTGAAGTCCGGCTCGTCCCAGGGACATGAGTAACTGTCTTGGTTCCCGCAACGAAGTGAATCAGAAGATATTATAAGAGGAGAAGAAGAAAAATCTATGGTTTCCACTTCCCTCGGTGAATTACTGCAGGAGACAGAATGAATTAAGCCTAAAGGCACAAAGAAGAGACTGTACAACTGGGTGAAGCCCAGTCGCCAAGCACCACGGAAATCTGGTTAGTCGAATCGAGTGGCTTCTTAAACTTCTGGACATAGCATCAGTAAGACTACTTTGTGTTTCTTACCAAGGCATATTAGAGTTAGCCAACATGAATATGATCCCCTCTCTCCCTCCGATGCCGTCAATCTCCGTCAGGAGCTGTGCTTTCAGGCGACGTGATGCCTCATGTTCACCAGGAGTCGACCGGTCTGATGCCAGCGTCTCCACTTCATCCATGAAGATTATTGAGGGAGAGTAGTAAGATGCCATCTCGAAGAGGACCTAGAAAGAGAAAGTATTGTATTGTAAGTTCGTTTTTTGCTATTTCTTGATAGGTACTATTTTAAAACTTCGTTCTACATTTGGATTTTTATTCCTAGTCTTAGATGCATTAATCACACATATGTAGATCTGAAACTTTAGCGTGCCCAAAAATCATTTACATACATACGATTTGGGTGTGTAACCCAAGATCTAACAAATATTTGCAACTGCAACAACATTACAAGACTAAAACCTTATCGGAGATGTTTATGGTGAACGAACCATAATACCCATCACTACAACATAATCTGAAGAAGCCGTTTTCCCAGCTCCACTAAACAATTTACCTTTATAATCTTCTCAGTCTCTCCCCGCCATTTGTTGACGATGGTGCTGCAGGACACGTTGAAGAAAGTGCAACAACTCTCGCCAGCCACAGCTCGAGCCAGCATCGTCTTTCCGGTGCCTGGTGGTCCGTGCAAGAGTACACCTCGCCACGGTTCCAGCAGTCCAGTGAATACTTCTGGATACCTGAAATATTTGAGTTTCATTTACATGCTTGGATATAGAGTCTGTTTTAAGATAATTTTAAGTGGGAGCGGTTTTTCTGCTCTATTTGGCCATATATAAGTATATTATTTTAGAAGATAAAAGGGTTCTTAATAAACTGCACATCGACTTACAAAACCGTCCTAAATTTTATAAAAAAAAACAAAATAAATCAAATCTTTTTTTTAAACCAAAAAACAGGTACCTTCCACGGCTTACATTACCTACAAAGAAACATTTTTCATAACTCAATCCTATAAAAAAATTAAAGTAAAGAGAAGAAATAAAAAAAAGAAATAATAAATATTATCTATAAATCCTATAATCCCACTTGCGTGATTTACCTGAAGCCACGGTCAACGAGGAAACATTTTACTTACGTAAAAAAATTACTTACATATGTATATTTATCTACTAATGGAATAACAACATCTATCGAGTAACATTAAAATAAAATAAGCCTTTATTGCTGTAGTCACAATAACAAGAATTACAGTTGTAACAGAGTTAACTCGTCGAGTACCGGTTTTATAGACACAATTAAAGAACAATAGGTCGCGGTCACCGGTGACCGCTTGGTGTTTGACAGTTTAAATAAACAAACTTAAATACTACTCTAACATTATCTCAGCAATCTGTTTCTCTCCTCGTACAACAGCTTGTCTTTCGACAAAGGCCTCCTCTAAGCATTTCCACTTGTTTCTATCCTCAGCAGGCAGCTTGGCAGGAGAAGTAGAGGAAGACAGCATAAACGATGGGAAGACGACTTGAAACAAGTCGCAGGGCCAGAATGGTTAAACAAAAACAAAAAAACATCGAATCTATCATTAACAATTAATAAGCATGTAAATAATAAAATAACATTTAAATCACTTACCGCACAGGATAAACAACGGACTCCATGAGCAAGCTCTTCGCAGAAGATAGTCCCTTCACATCATCCCAAGACACTCCCGAGGATCTGATGATGTCCTGGTACAACACTTCCGCCAACTGCTTCTTGTCATGAGTCATGTGGTTAAGAAGACCAGCTATAGGTTTCCTTTCTATCGCTGATATCGTTTGGATGGCTTGTTCGTCCTGCAAGTTAAAATTAAAATAAAAAAACACTTCACCATTTTAATTATAATAGGAGTATTTTTCTGAAATCATCTAATGACTTCTCCCATCTGGGTGACGCGAGAGACAGACTTTTACTGACTAAAACCCACGCCGTTCCTACGCCTGCACTTCGAGCCGGAGCCCCGGTAACCCGTTAAGTCCTCCGCGGCTAGACTAACCATTCCACTAACAGAAATCAATTTAATTGACCTTTAGTATTTGCCAATGTAAACAGCTTGAGAATTCAAAAGAAAAAACATCAAACAGTCCATTTACACTATTTCTTTGGACATTCCATTAAGAGGAGGGGACATAGACAGAATGCCATATAAATATTGTTAAGCCATATTTATTTGCCAACTGTATTTAGCCCAGTTTAAGCAGCCAACATGGCGGTGACCTTGGAATATGCCACCCCGTGACAAATTGCTGGCCGCGAGCCAAAATCTCGCAATAAAACTATTTGCTTCACCTGAATTTCATTTAAAATCGGATCATAGAGTTTCCACCAAATTAAGTAAATAGGTGAGCGAATGTTTAAGCATTGATTGATCTTCATATTGTTTGCCGATATATTTACATATTGTTATGTTTAATAAAACCCGGAATTTCCTTAATTAATATTTAGGTAATAACTTTAATGTTACAATCGAATTCTAGCCCATTTTAGTTGTCGCGGAGAACCTAACGGGTAACCGGGGCTCCGGCTCGACGTGCAGGAGAAGGAACGGCGTGGTTTTTAGTCAGTAAGAGTCTGACACTCCCTCCCGCCTCGCCCAGGCGGGAGCAGTCATTCGATGATTTTCCCCCCTTAAAAAAAATAAAGCCCATTTTAGTTATCCCGGTAGTGGTCCCAAGAGTGATAAACAAGGAGTTTTGGGTTTAATAGATATACCTACCTAATTGGGTGTACTCTTGGTTTTTTTTTAATATCTCTCAACGATAGCACGGTATTTGAAATAATTGTGGCCAGGGTACCTACGGCAAATCATACCTGTAACAACTTGGTAACGGTGAAAGTAGACGGCAGATCGGCACCCTCTTTCACACACATACACTCCGCAGGGATCATAGGCTCAGTTCTCTCCCTGGTCTTTCTCGTCTGTGGTCTTCGAACTGGACGCTGTTCCTCCACCTTGCGGCAGAACTGAGGCTGCTTGTTGAAGCGCATCAAGTAGTAGCTGCAATAGTCCTGGAAAAGGGGTATTTTACCAGTAAGAGATTGTTTTAACTAAGCAGGATGACAGAAACCTGCATAAAATAAGGTAACTACGTAATATAACACACATCACGCCTTTTATCCCCGAAGGCGTAGGCAGAGGTGTACCTACATTATGCCATTGTACAATGTAACATCTACTTTTCACTATTTATGTTTTGAGTCCCATGTAATGGGGGGTGAGCCTATTGCCATATATCGGGCACAATTCCAGACTACTGTGATTTTTTGAAAACCCAGTAATACTTTGCCCTACCCTGGAATCGAACCCGAGACCCCTTGCCTGACATTACATGTGTAATGATAATAATAATCTTCTTATTTAAAGTATGTCTGTTACAAATCCTTCAAACTTCTCCCACACAGTGACCGCCAATTTATTACGTCAAAACGGGAAAATGCAACCGACGACATTTTGTATTACGCAATATGGCCGCTGTGACGTCACCGGCGTCTGCGCGTCTCGCTATGCAGGCGCGCATCCAAGGAGACCGGAGCAAGAAGTTTGTAAACAACTTGGGTTTGTTTCATTTTGTACTTTATGTTGTTTGTTTGGTACTTATGTGATATACACGTGTGATGTGATTATGATGTTATTCGGGTTACTCACGTACCGACCTAATTATTCGACGATGACTTTGACAACTTTCAAGCCATGGTAGATTCTCATATTCATGTGTGATGTGATGTTTGTCATTATGTTATGTTTAACCCGTCGTGTGTCTAAACGTGGATCCACGCGAGACACAATGTATTTTTTATTGTGTCTCATATACGGCCATTCAAGCGGTTAAGGGATTCGGGCTACTGGGGCAAATGAGTAGACTGATCAGCTGAAATCCCTCATAAGTATCTGGTTTTAAATGAGTTTTGCAGTTGCCGGATGAATACAAGTTCCGAATGCGTCGCAAGCCATTACAATCGTCACTATTTCACTCATTTAATGTGAGTGGAATTCGGTATGAAGATATTTTTGAGTAATAATAACAAAAATAAGCACAAATATTTATGATAATACGAAGTTTTTAAAATCTAAATAGAATTTCAAAGGAAACCTTTATTTTGAACAAATGGCATTTGGCAACAATTTCACACACGCACGCATGAAGACATCATCACACTATAATATTTTATTTATTATAAGACGTACCTCACTGACCGCACACTGGTTAGATTATTTAAAATTTAATTCAGGAAAAACATTTATAAACCAAAGTTTATTATGAGTTTTATTCTGACTTCTACGTTGTTTTTTACGTTAGTGAGTGGGTGGTCTCGGCGTGCTTCATTGAATATACTAGTTACTCGACAGACGACATCTGTCTATTGGCGATAAACTCAAATAGTAATGAATATAATTCGATTAAAGACATGAACTAAAAATATGTATCAATACATTAATCAACATAGTATAAAACAAAGTCGCTATCCACCGTTTGTCTGTTCCTATGTATGCTTAGATCTTTAAAACTACGCAACGGATTTTGATGCGGTTTATTTAATAGATAGAGTGATTCTTAAGGAAGTTTTATATGTATAATACATGCATATTGCACCCGTGTGAAGCCGGGGCAGGTCGCTAGTTTGCAATAAATGAGGGTTTATTAATATTATATTTAGAACTTCACAATTCATTTCACACCGACTCCACACAACTTAGACACATCATAAAGATATCACCGTCCACTGTACGACATAGGGCTCGTACACAGAAATGCGTTACGACGTCGCATCGCAAAAATGTGCGAGCTCCCTCTACGCATCGCAAGAACTTGCGAATTGATTCGCATCGCGCATCAAAATCTTACCTTCCCAAAATCTTCTTTGTTTCTTATTCCTGTATCTCCTAAGCAATGACAGAAGTGCACATTTCTTTTTACGATCCACGCCACGACCTAGTTTTCAATTTAAAATACGTTTAGTACGGTTGACGGTCGTCGAAGGAATGGTCTGCCTTGTCGCACAAAATCTCATCGCAGCAATTCGCATCGTAATTTTTTTGCGTTGCGAATTCGCATCGCATCGTAGTGTTGTGGACGAGCTCATAAAGAGTCAGGTAACCGACTGACATACTAGTGGACTGGCTTCCCATTCACGACAGCTAATGACATGCTCCAGTTATATTGTTGTGCAGGCACCATTGCTCTACTCCATTTTGAGGTTATGACCTGTAGATTTTTAAAGTCGGTGATTGAGCACTTACAGTTGAATCTGGACTCCAGATTTGGTTGTGCTTCGACGTGTGAGTGAGATTATTGAAGGTCTAATCCTTTACTCAATTTCCAACCTCTAAATTAAAATTTATAAAAAGCAATTGGCAATGTATTTTTAACTCTTCTGGTGTTGCGGGTGTCAATGCGTGGCGTCGATTTCTTACCATTAAGTAATCGTTTGTTGACCATATTCCATAGAAAAAACCAAAAGTTCTGCTACCTAAAAGAATCATCGATATTATGTAGTGGAACACTCTATTAGACACGTTTGAATGAACTTCCACACTTGTATAGGGTTGTCATTTATCACGCGACCGTCGACCAATCAAATTGTCTGTATATGACGTCATTTGTCCGACCCGCCAATCGAGAGGAAATGAAAGATCCGGTCCAATCTGAATGCAACTATCAATTGAGCCTTTATCTTCGTGGAATTGCCTGAACTAGTAAGTTTGTTGTGCTAGTACTTTGGAGACTAACATAAACGAATATTTGCGAAATGAAATTGGATTTATTATTACTTTCTAACATTTGTGGTCGTACCTTTTAAAAGTTTTTAAATAGAGCGCAATAAAAGTTTTATTGAGTTTTTCGATTTAAAATCTACTATGCTAAAATAAAATAACCGATTGCAAAAAGTTTTACCCTGAGTACGGGGACATGCTACGCCTAATTCCCATGAATGTGATGTAAGTTTTACATTATACTAGCTACTTCCGCGCGGTTTCACACGCTCTGCTCAGCTTCCATTGGTCGTAGCGTGATGTTTTATAGCCTATAGCAATCCTCGATAAATACGCTATCCAACACAAAAATAATTATTCAAATCAGACTTGTAGTTACGGAGATTAGCGCGTTCAAACAAACAAACAAAAAAACAAACTCTTCCGCTTTATATCTATATATATAAAAGAAAGTCGTGTTAGTTACACTATTTATAACTCAAGAACGACTAAATCGATTTGGATGAAAATTGGCTGGGAGGTAGCTTAGAACCAGGAGACGGACATAGTATACTTTTATCTAATTTTTTTTTACTTTTACTAAAAATCACGAACGGGAACGGGGGGAAAATGGTATGGCGCGTACGAAGTCGCGAGCAGAAGCTAGTAATAGTATAAGTATAAGATTATAAGGGAAACCTTCAACGTCACATTAAGGAGATTCAATTTAAACCAAGAGAGTAATTTCTTAAAAAAAGTTTTTATATAAACTAGCCATGTTGTGTGTCAACCCTGTTCAGTCAGCTGTTCAATTTCCTCGCTCTCGTAAATAAGGTCGTGAACCCTAAGTACGTCAGTAGTCTTCCTCCCACCGTATGTTTTAGTAAATGGGGTAAAATCGATGCTTGAATAAACATTTCACATTTTTACTTCATCGTGTTACAGTTAAGTGTTTTCGGCCTGTTAATATGGGTACGTAGGCTTTGATTTTCAGGGCCGTTTTTCCTATCGCCGCCGGGTAAATTTTAACTTAGCGAGTAACTTTGAATATTTGACAATTCTTCCATACCAAAAACTCAAATGTTAATTTTATTCTACTACTAGCTTGTGCCCGCGACTTCGTACGCGCAATCCCATTCCCCCCCCCCCCCCGTTCCCGTTCGTGATTTTCTGTAAAAGTAAAAAAAAACAAATTTAGATAAAAAGTATCCTATGTCCGTCTCCTGGTTCTAAGCTACCTCCCTGCCAATTTTCATCCAAATCGATTTAGTCGTTCTTGAGTTATAAATAGTGTAACTAACACGACTTTCTTTTATATATATAGATTAAAAATTTACTGAATTTTGGAAAATTAGTCCTTAAACTGTCAAACACCGCGAGGACACCGGTGACCGCAACCTATTGTTCTTTAATTGTCGCGGAGAACCTAACGGGTAACCGGGGCTCCGCCTCGACGTGCAGAAGAAGGAACGGGGTGGTTTTTAGTCAGTAAGAGTCTGACACTCCCTCCCCCCTCACCCAGGCGGGAGCAGTAATTCGATGATTTTCCCCCCTTAAAAAAAAATTGTTCTTTAATTATGTTTATAATATATACTCGAAAGGGTTAATAAGGTAGAAGACGTCTATTCAGTAATATAGATGTGGACACAAACCCTTGACAATCGAGGCACTTTGGAATTAGACACTTCAGCCCATCTCTTTGAGAAGAAATATAATCTATACAGAAAATATCAATATCAGAAAATAAACCTAGACTTCACTGCACTCATGCAGGATACCTTCCAGTCTACAAAGCGAATATCAAAAAACTATCAACTCTATAACCACCAAAAACCACACGGCATTCAAAATCAAATCCCAAACTTGAATTAGAATTTAATTTAAATTTAGCATGAGTTACATTACATGAGAATGAGTTGCAAAATGTCGTTGGAAACTCGTTCAGAGTCGGACGGCACGCAACTATGCAGGGTGTAGGAACATTTGGTTCAATATTAAAAGTATTTCGTCGAACATTTCGCTTGCGAGTCCTAGTGGAATGTTCGAACATGTGTGAGTTTGCCTGATGGGTAGTATTAAATTGTAGAGAAGGTGCAATGGTGTCAAAGTGATTTTTAAACGATTTCAAAAAGAAAAAACATCTTCAGTAGGCTGCTTGATATCGCCGCGACCGCGCATGCTGCTTATGAGGAACCCCTCTGTGGTTCGAAACAAGTAGAGCTTTTCTCAGTATATTCACGTAAGTAACTCGCGATTTTTAGTTAATTTAGTATGTCTCAAGATAGTTATTATAAAAAAAGGTTTCTCAGTATGACCT